TTTTTTTTTTTTTTTTCTCCTATTCCCCTACAATCCCTTCAACCCCTCTTCTACTCCTTATTTACAAAAGCTTTCTATTTTTCCTTCTTTTCCATATTTTTTCTTTGCCCTCCTTTCTTTCCCCATCCCCCTCTCTCTAGTTCCCCTTCTCATTTTATCTTAGTTACTCTTCTCTCATTGCTGGCACAAATAGTTTCAGTCCATACTCAGCTGGCTCCAAGGTAGAGCGGCACAAGGCAGAGGGCAGCTTTCATGGTGGCAGCAAAGAGCAAGAGTGCAAAGGGAGTAGCAGCAGCTCAAGCAGCTAACTTCTCTTCCCTCCTTACATTAAAATGCAAATTACCTGCCCCAGGGCAGATGCAGCATCCACACCCACAGTAATCAATCACAAACTCCAGAGGCCACCCCAAGACTACAGGAGGCTTTGGGGGGACACCTAGACACAAACCATAACACATTTGAACATTTTCCTACTCACGATCTCTGTCATACATTTTGATCCTTATTTACAGCTTTCAGTTTCTCACATCTGAGAAACAAAGAAGTACTATACACGTGTATCTTGGTCTCAAGGTGCATCCCTGTAGCTAGAAATGGCTCGTTTGTCCTTTTTTATGTATGTGAAAGTACATATCTGTTTATAGATGTATACATGTATAATCCATACATATTCAAGATTGGATTATGCTGGTCAGCCGCAGAGTTGGATGAGGAAGCGTGGAGAGGGTGTCTGCACTTGTCCTTCTTTATGATAGAGTACTACTCCAGTATATAAAAAACTCCACATCTTCTTTATTCATCGGTTGATGGGCATTTGGGTATGATGGGCATCTGTTGCCAAGACTTAGCTAACCCGAATGGTGCCACCATAAACGTGGGTGTGTGTATATTGCTGTGGTACGATGCTTTTAATTCTCTCAGGAAGATACTAAAAAAGAGACCAGCAAGGTTACTAATTCTTAAACAATTCAATATTGGGTTTTGCAAAACATCACCTGTCTTTGTTTTAGGATATCCTTGCTTATCAGTAAATTGTTAAAGAAGATGTATTAGAGAGATAAGCATCTTGAATTTATTTTAAAAATTATGATCTGGGGCTGGGGAGATAGCTTGGCACTCTAAGAGTCTACTTGGCAAGTGCAAGAAGCACAGTTCAATCCCTGGTGCAGCATGCTGTTCAGGGCCCGGAACCCCACTGAGACAGGGCATGGTGGCACATGACTGGAATACCAGTGCTGGAGAGGCTGAGACGGGGATCACTGCGAGTCTGACCTGGTTAGTGAGACCCTGTACCAAATAAATAAATAAATAAATAAATAAATAAATAAATAAATAAAATAGAAAGTGAAAAAGATGATCTGGTTTAGATGAGCATCAGTACTCGAACCAAAGTGCCCTTTCCTGTTGCCTCACTCAGTGCTCGACAGCACTGGTGTCAAGTATGCTTTTGTTCAAAAGAGTGATTATTTTGGTTTCTGTTAAAAATGGGGGCCAGAAACAGCAAGGAAAGATGATAGTACATTTTTGAGGTTTCTGTCCTCATTTATTAAGGCAGATGTTGTCCTGAATGCGAGGAGCAGAGAGCCCCTTGTATCTCATGCATAGTATCTTAGCCACATACATTCCATGGGACTTTTATGGCCATCTTTGAGCAATGGAGACCTAATTCAAGCTCCTTATTTCTAAAGAATAGGAACATTTGATTTTCCTTTGGATAGGAAGCTGTTTTATCCTTTCTAAAATGAGAGAGTCAAATTTGATGATCGCTTTTCCTTTCAGCTCTCCCAGTCTTTGAATTTCTATAACTTACGACAGTGAGCATTGGCCCGCCTACCTTAGAACAAACCAGAATCAACACAGGAGTTGGAGAACAGGCCCATTGAGAAACCCTGTATTCTCTGCCTCTCTGTGGTGGTTTGGTCATGTGGGGACCATACCTAAGAGGACCATGGGAGGATTTTGGCTTCCAGTCCACTTCCAGAGCCACTGGGATCTCCATTTCTTCTACTTCAGGACTAAAGGCAGTTCCTTCCAGGGAGCAAACAGAAAGCCGACAGTAGCCGTTATTCATCTCTCTCTGACAGTGGCTGATGGCTGATGGTATCTGAAAACAAAGACAAGTCACATCTTTCAAGACTCAGTGTGATTTGGAGTTATTTGTAAGCTGGACCCAAGGGTGTCTGAGTTGTTACTTGGAAGTGCAAAGCCCCAGGATGCACCCAGGGGACAGGCATTTGAGGTTTGCCTGTCAGTCACTCTAGGCTCCCTCTTCTGTGTGCTTAGTGTCCTGTGTGTTCACCATCTTGACTTTGTTTCCCATGTTTAGGTTGCAGCCAATTCTTTTTAATGACTGGAATGTTGTAAAATTCTTGCCTTTTCTTTTCCAGTTGGATGGATGGAAGCAAAGTGGATTATGTGTCTTGGGCCCCAGGTGAACCCAATTTTGCAAATGAGGATGAAAATTGTGTAACTTTGTATACAGATTCAGGTAAATAACACATAACTCTTCTTGAATGTGCTTTGTGATGTGATGTTTCATTTCCTAAAGCGCTAGACAAAAAGTAGTAAGTTGTGCATTTATAAGGCGTTAATTCTAATTTTAGCAGCATAGCTGTTCAGTTTCTCTCTCTTGCTCTCTCTCATTTTTTTTCCTTTGGAGGAATATCAGGGATCACACTTAGGACCTTGTGTTTACCAGCCAGCTGAGCTATCTCCCAGGCTCCCTGGTCACTTTTTAAAGGTGCTTACCATTAACTGAATAAAAGATGTAGTATTCTTAGCTTTTCCCAAGTTATAAAACACTTTTTCATGTGCTTGAGAAAAATATCTAGAATATCTTTATCATCACTTTTATCTCTCTCTCTCCAGTTTCTTATTAGGCTATAAAATTGAATAATGATGTAACTGATCTGTAGTTGAGTAGATTAAATGGGATAATACACCTAACACTAAGCAGAGTGCTTAGATACTATATTATTCTTACTCTCCAGTACTAACTAGATAATTTTTCAAAAGAGAAAACACATGCTTAGTTCATAGAAATCTCTCTGTAGAGTTAAACTATTATCAGTTTAGAAGAAATAGCATGTGCCTTGCTGGCATGCTGAGATGGTAATTGAGACTGGATGTGGCGGCACATGCCTGTAATCCCAGCTCTTGGGAGGCTGTGAACAGGCAGATCACTACGAGTCTGATCTAGTAGTGAGACCCTGAACACCCTGTAGACCCTTCCCTAAAAAAAAAGAAAAAAGAAAAAAGAAAGAAAGAAAGAAAAAGAAATAGTATGGATTTATCTAGTCACTTGTGCAAAAAATAAAGTTTGACTTTATTCTGAACTTATGGGAGTATCCTTATTCAATCCAAATGCATAGTTTACAGAGTTTTTAAGCACAGTCATATAAGCGAGATTTAACTCTTTTGCTCTTTGCCAGGGTTGTGGAATGACATCAACTGTGGTTACCCAAATCCCTTCATTTGCCAGCGGCACAACAGCAGCATTAATACCACCCAAGTAGCACCTGTCACACCCGCAAGCCCAGGTGGCTGTAAGGATGGTTGGAAGTTTTACAACAACAAGGTACTGGACCAGGAGAAGTAGTCCTAGTTTTGGCATTGACCAGTGTGGAGTGTAACAGCAATTCTTTCAGGTCAAAGTTAACTGCTGACCACCTCAACATTTTAGGGACTTTTTGGAAAGAGTAAATGGAGATTCCAATGATAAACTTTCACTGGAGATTAAAAGAGTATTTGCGATATTATCCAAGTAGTTGTAATCTTTATCTTGAGAGAGAACAAAACTTAGCAGAGAAAGTCTGTGAGTCATAAAGCTAACTTCATTTCTAAGGTTGTTATTTGGTCATGAGAAAATTCATATGTACTTACAAGCATCTGGAATAATTTCAACTTATTTAAAGTCAGCTTTCTCAGTTTTAGTTAACCCCTGCTTTCTAATTCCATCTCAGTGTTACAAAATCTTTGGATTTGTTGAAGAAGAGCTAAAAAGTTGGCAAGAGGCGCGAAAAGCCTGCATAGGATTTAAAGGGAACCTGGTCTCCATACTCAGTGAGAAGGAGCAAGGTACGTGGGCGTCCGCCCGCCAAGCAGTGATGAACTGAAATGTGTATGCTTGCCCATGAAACGGTAGGACTTTGCCCACTCTGAGCGCTTTTTTAGGGTAAATAAAAAACTATCACTTACTAAAAAAGATTTTGCCGAATCATAGACACGATTTGCTGGGCTCTGACTGTAGAATTCTTTACCATTTTCTTTGCAACTCTACAAAGCAGGAAATGTTACCCTGTTTCCTGACAGAGGAAATGGTGTTTGTAGAGACCTGAGTCAGGAAATTTGCCCCCAACAGGTGGGCGTGGGGATTAACTCTAAGTCTAACCAGCTCCCATTTGGTTATTTCCAGCAAATCAAAGAAGAGTAGTGGTGAGAAAGAAATGAAAAATTTCTGAATTCATATTTATTTATTTTTAGTCACCTGGTCATACAATTGGTGATACAATAAAACAGATAAATAATCAAATTTAGAAGAATATTTTTAATAAAACATAAGGATAAGCCAGACCTATGAAGAACACTAATGAGAAAAACCTCCCATGTTCACATAGCAGGTTGTGAAAATTCGAAGTATTTATTGTCAAAAGAAGGGCACAAACAACTTCTGCAGTCTCTTGGGGCCATGTTTGGGGAAGTAGATATTATGTTAAATTTGTCCTTAAGTTTGCATTTGTGGCTAGCTGCAAGTCATTCAGAGTGAACTGATGAGGGATGAGGAAAACACTACAAGTAAATTACAGGTGAAAGACCCTCCTCTTAAATAGTTTGGCAAAGAGAGGAGGTGAACTTGGGGAAGACGTTCATGTGTGGTCCCAGAAGGAAGCCTGCTGAAAGGCAGTTACAGAGAAATAATAGGTTTAGGTTCAATGTGAGGGGTCATCCCAATAGCTGAAAGTGATCAGTGAGCTGCTTGGTGAGGGAGGTAAGGAAGGAATTGTGAAAATGCTTGAGCAAGAGGTGTGCAGGTGGGCACTGGAGAGCTGTGGGTGGCTGGTGCGTGGTGTAGAAAAGGTGCTCATCAGATGGCCATCGTGTGTATAAATTCATGAGAACACTGTAGAAGAAATATAAACTGCATATTCTCTTTTGTTCCAAGATGCTCTGACCTCCAAAATCCTGTACTCAGAACCCAAAATGATAGATGCCAAAAAGAATAAGAAAGAGACTAACCATTTTCTGAACGCTCTCCTCACTGTTTATAACTGCTGCCATGTCTAGGATGCTTTGTATGACAAACCAACCAAGTTTTCACTGAGAACCTTTGACAGGTTCAACAACTTGCCACACACTGAAAGAAAAGGGTCAACCACAGCACACAAGGCAGAAGTGTAATGTTCACATTTCTCTGGTTGGCTGCCACATTTCTGGGGCTTAGCTACCCAGCAGAGAAACACAGTCATTGATTTCCTCTCTTAACCACAAAGTGCTGATTCCTGGTAGAAGAAAATTAGAACCTGAGTAGTACAGATGTGCAGAAGGAAACAATTTTCAGATAAAATAACATTATTCCTGGCACCACATGCACACGTTGCTGAATTCTTATTGTGGCTGTTGGCAGTAAAATAAAAAAGTCAGTGCTGGCTATTGGCAGGTAAAGCTTCCCCACATTTTATTTTCAGTTAAGGATAAGGCATAAGTTACCATTTTATTTAAGGACAAAGTAAATATCTACCCCTGACCTGATTTCTCTGAAAAATTTTGGGCAAAATATCTTTTTGTTATTGTTTTGTTTCTCGTGTTTAATTTAAAAAAGTTAATCATTAAATGAGGTGTTTGCTACCTCTAATCTCCCCCCAAAAGAATAAGTATTAGCCATGATTGCTCTGTGGAATTGCTTATGGAAAAACAGCTTTATCTAATTTGCATCTCCCATAAGTAGCCCCAAATGCATTTCATGCTATTGACATTCCTTGCTTGAAGCATACAGATTTGGAAACTGCTGTTCCACTGAGCAGGTGCTGAGGCACCTTGGAGCGTGTGGCTTGGGCACAGTTGCTAGAAGCTGAACCCTGGAGACACCACAGGGATGAGCTAAGAGAAAGGAGTGTAAGCTGAGTGGAGCTAAGCCTTTCATAGCCTCTGAATATTTGCCACCATCATCATTTGCAATAGAATTGGTTAAAAAATAAATTGAATTAAATTTTAAAAACAGCAAAAGGCTGTATTCTATATACTCTAAATTTCTCTGGAGCCCTTCACCCTGTGGGGAGATCGCCTTAGCGTCAGGACGGCGCCTAGGTCCAGCCACATCCACAGATGCTCGCTGATCCTCAGTGTTGCCAGCCCAGGAGGAATCCCACTTGGGCAGCTCTTTTAGATTGGGAATCTGAGATAGTAATCATTTGAGAGCCTGGTGCCTCTTGTTTTGATTTTCACAACTTTGCTGTGTTAAGAGAGGCCTCTCTTCCCTAATTATTATAATCAGATTATTTGATTTACAGAATGAGGACAGCTGCTAAGTCATAGGGTAAGCTTTTATGCAATAGGAAAATGTGCTTCTTTCTGCAGACTTGTAGGCAGGCATGGCTAGTTTGGGGTGCATATCACAGAGGGCACCAGATGGACTTCGACCTCCTTTCTCTCCCTCCCCCTGTCCTGGTACCCCTTGAGCAGGGTGCAGCTTGTACCCCCATCTGTAGTGTCCTAGATAAAACCTAAACTTCCATTGTAGGAAACTTCCATGTCCAAAGCTGAATAGCTATCATGATGCGACAATGTTTTCATGGTAAGGTCCTTTAATGATAAAAGCCTACATCCCGTACTCAGTATTTTGAAGTTAATACATTTTATAATATCTTCTCTATGTTGAATATGAACCCCCTAATTTAAACCCATTTTGTGAAATTTTCTTCTAGCGTTTCTTAACTCCCATATGAAGGATTCCACCTCTAATGTCTGGATTGGGCTGAACGATGTCAATTCAGAACACAAGTTCCTCTGGACAGATGGGCGAGGAGTTCGGTATACAAACTGGGGGAAGGGTTTCCCTGGTGGAAGAAGAAGCAGCCTTTCTTATGAAGATGTAAATATCACTTTCAAATTGCCTCTCTATACACTACTAGCTTGCATGGGGTCATCTGATTTTTGAGTGATCCCTTATGACTAATGTATCAGTGTATTCTTCGGTGTGACTTTTTCTTGCAGGTTGACCTGTGTTATATGAAGCCAACTTTGAGAGAAGGGCTGTACATTTTGTTGAGTGCTTTGTTTTGGGGGGCTGGGGATAGTAAGCAGTAGCAAGACCCAGCTCCCTACTAAGCCTGATTAGTAATCAAGAAAAACCCACGAACCCAGGGTTATCAATGTTTTTGAACTGACTGCCCCTTATCCACTGTAGCTGTTGCAGGATTGCAGGTCAGCCAGCTACTGCTGTGTCGTGCCACACCTCGTACAGTTGCCATCCACATCATCATTAGCATAAGAAGATCATATTTATAGTGGGCCTGTTATGTGCCACAGACTGTGCTAAGTGTTTTGTACATTAGCCTAAGGGATGGTCTTTATTTTACTACTTTTGTACTTAAGTGATTGAACAGTCACCTTGTGGTGTCTAACATCCTACTGAGGATTGTGAAAATCCTGGGAACAAGGCAAGGTTTTGTTTTTATCTTTAGAAAGCTTATGCATAAATCGGGATGTAAGTCTCTTTTTTATTCTTTGGAAAAAATAAAACAAAATTTTATAGCAAAATAATAAAAGATTAACAGTAGTTACTACATTACACATTGTTATGTCTAAGATAGTCACCCAGAGTACAAAACATGGTCATAAAAATTCTCCTTATCTGAGGAAAGAGGCAGCAAAGACATGGAAGTATATAAAATGGGAGCAACCAGAAAGTACTAATTAGAGAGGGGACTCATTGTGGTGTGCAGTCATTTAACCAGCTGATGTCATCTCTGGGGCTCTTTGTGCAAGACCCTGTCAGTGCATGACACGATAGAGGTGGAATATAAAAAAGAATCGACTTCCAGTACTACTCAAGAGAAACTTAAAACATAATCATCAGAGGAAATAGGCAAGTGGTGAGGAAGGTTGTGCTCGATGAACCAAGCTAGCGGAGTCTTCAGCAGGAGAGTATAAGGTATGTTTGAGTAGGAATAAAGGGCTTTGAACACGACAGGAGAGGGTTTCCTGTATAAAAGAAGTAGAACTAAGGGAGCTTTTTTAAAAATTAAATTTAATTTTATTATTTCATTTTGAAAAGTAAAAGACAAAAGCAAGAATAAAAATCAGAAACAATGACAGTAACAGGTAACATACAACATAGAAGTAAGCTTTGATAGTGGAATTTACAGATATATAGAGGTACTCTTTGGGAGAGTTTTCATTTTATCAGGTAGAAGAAAAAATAGGCTTAAATACAAAAATGATCTGATCAGAATCAATTATTATGACAGCTTGATACCTATATGCAGGGTGGATATATTTTGATGATGGGCAAATGTTTTTCTATGAAGAAATTTTTTGATCCTCTTTGCATAAATTAGGGCTAAAAGTTTACTGAAGTTAAAGTGGAGTGACAGGGTTTGCTTAAAGAGAAATGGGTGAGAAATGAATTACTTAATATAAATCAAATTCATCAGTGTACACTTTGTTATTACAAGATTACTGTTCTTTTAAATTTGTCAAAGTGTATTTTATGGACTCACAGAAAGAAATAGACCCAGAGTAGCCTCAAAGGGAGGAGGAAATGGAAGGCGGAACGTACAGGTAAAATTTCAATGATGGGAAGCCCGCGTCCTGTAGAGTTCCGTCAGAGCCCAGAGGCTGCTAGCTCCATCTCTCTGTGCTTAAGTGGCTGCTGTAGTTCGGCTTTGTGGAAGGACGAGCAGGTAGAGACTGATGAAGCCATAGGTACAAAAAAAGCACAATTCAGCCGGTTTGAACAGCAGGGAATGTTTACTAGCTTCATGACAAAACGTCCAGCTAAAATGTCAATATTTCACCACAGTTAAGATGCCATTGATGGAAAAACTCACTACCTTGGCATGTGCCCCTAAAAAAGAATCTACCAATTATATTCTGTCATGCTACTGATTATGATATGAACCTCTTATTTTAGATTTTTTTTTTTCTGGAACCGGTGATTGAACTCAGACCCTTGCGCTTGCCAGGAAAGTACTTATTCTACTGAGCCATCTTCCAGAAATGTTAGGGACCATCCACTTGGCTCTCCTCTCTCTCTCCTAAACACAAGCTTTTTCTCCCAATAAATATATTGTACTTTAAAACTAATGTCAAAATATGAAAGGTATATGCCATATCATTCATAGCTTGCAGTACATGGCTCGCCAGCATCCAGAATACAGGTTCTTTCCATCTTTTCTTTCTGCACTCTTTGCACACTGGCCCCACTCTCTTCATTAGGATAGGCTATGAAGGCTGGAGGAATCACATTCCTGCAAGATAATAGTCTCTTTCCCTTTCCTTTGTGGGCCTTTATCAATTAGGACCCCTTCCTGGGAGTCCTCCGGAGTCCCCAGGGCACCTTGCCATCCCCATCATGAAGTGATGTAATTAGGGCACCTGCATGTAGGCTTGGAGAATGAGGACCTGCAGCTTGATGCTGTGTTCACTGAACTGCCTGGGTGGCCTTGAGAGCTTCCTTGTCTCCCTGTGCTTCATTTCCTTCATGCAGAAAATGGACATAGGCCTGACACCTAGGTTATGGGATGGATGTGAACTCAACTGAATTAATACATGGGCAGCACTTAGATCCATGTCAGACATTATGAGCATAGGCTATGATTATTACAACTGATGAGCTAGAAAAGCCCAACAAATGATCATAATTTTTATCTAATCATGGATGAAAGCCCTGGTACACTGGGTTTTATGTCACTTTTTTGGGTTCACTTTTGGCTGTTAAATTATCTTACGGAAACATGGAAATACAAATATTCACAGCTGAATACAGTACAATATTTTTCCATCCCTTGTATAATCTCCTCCAAAATAAGTTACAAAACTTTCTAGCTATTGTAACAGTTATCTCTGAAATGGTAGTAATTGTGTTATAAATGAAGTTAGAGATGGAGTAATTGTGTTCTCCTAGAGTCTTTGGTTCCTAAGTTTTAGGAGCACTTAGCAACATTTCTGATAGCAGAGGTTCTCAGATTTCTTCTGCTCAGATGCAAGAGTGAAATGCATGGATCTGTGGGCAGAACAGGCTCAGGTGGGCAGCAGGCAACTGCGCTGAATACCCACAAGGCACGAGGATGACAGATTGCAGAGTTAGGAACACTGAAGAGTTTTGCTTTTTCTGGAATTAATAGTAATAATAGTCAGCTCATGTTTGTCTTTCTTTATCCACAAATGCCCAGACGGACTGTGTCGTTATTATGGGAGGGAAATCAAGGGATGCTGGGAAGTGGATGGACGACATCTGTGAAAACAAGAAAGGCTACATATGCCAGACTCTGCCAGGTAAGTCCCACCACCCGAGCTCTGCCTGGCTGGACGAAGTGGTTTCAACGTGACTTTAAATGAGGGCCGTTTCCTTGATTCTCATTTTAATCCATGTGAGCCTCGGACTGCCAAAAGGAGTAATATTTCTTAAACTTTATTCATGAGTCTTCTGCATAGTACTGCAGAAATTTGAGTTGGGATTGCATTTAACTTGCAATTAAAACATTTACTTAATTTTGTTAGAAATTTGAAACATTTTCCTACTTAAGTGTTAACAGGATAACCATGCTTCAGCTCATATAATTTGAGAACCATTGGCATGGAGTTGCCTATATGCCTCGTTGTTTGTTCTGTTTTTTTTTTTTTTTTTTTTTTTTTTTTTTTTTTTTTTTTTGAGAGGAGGGTTGAGATGAGTTCCCACTGTGTGGCTCAGGCTGGCTTCAAGCTCACAGAGATTATCCTGCCTCAGTCTCTCGAGTGCTGGGACTTCAGGCCTGTGTTACTCTGCCTGGCTTGTCTTATATTCTGTGTCTTCAACAGTATGGACATCTGACTTGAGTTCCTTTTTACATCTTAGAAATCTTGAATGTGGTTAAATAAAATAAAACAGAACAGGGATATTTACTGTGGATCAGTGTTATAGTTCCATAGTCTGAGTTTCAAGTCCAAGTAGAACAGTGATGTCCAGCTACACAAAAGCGCTGGATATTTAAAAAGAAGGATTAGAGCTGTGGGTAGAGAGTGGCTGAGGCATTCCCTGAATGTAGTTCTCAGAGGACGAGAGGATGAGAAGGCACTTGCCCTCTCTGATCTAATGGAGTTCTCAACACTTTCCGGAGAGTCAGGGGCCTGAGGTGAACCCATGTCAGTAACTGCAAATTGCTGAAGATCTCTTTTGGAGTTTGAAAAGCACAACTCACCTCCCTCACCCAGATGCTGTCCAGCCTTGCCGCTCTCTCTTCATGCAGTATGCTCTCTGTATTGCCTGCTCTAGCTCCCTGGGTTCAACCAGCTACAGATTGAAAATACTTAGGAAAAAACTCCTGCATCTGTATTTGTACTAAATATATATAGACTACTTTTGTCACCGTTCTGTAATCAAGACAGTGTAGGGCCCACGGAGATAGCTTGGTAGAATAAGCACTTGCCTGGCAAGCACAGGGTCCTGAGTTCAATCCCTGGCACCGCCCCCCCCAAATAAAGACAGTGTAATTACTATTTATATGTCATTTACATTGTGGTAGGTCTTAAAGTAATCTAGAGATGATTTAAAATATACAGGAGGATGCTTGTAGGTTATACACAAGAACTGTCCCATTTTTACTCAATGTTAAATTTTTATTAAATTTTTTAGCTGATACATAAAAACATTAAAACTTATACGTATTAGTAGGTAGGGTGCCATGGTTTTAATAGATGTATCTACTGTATAATATTTAGATTAGGTTCAGTGCTGTTTCATAGAAAAGACTTGAGCAACCAGAGATTTTGGGCATCTGAGCTAGGGAGAGGGTACGGTGGCCCTGCGCACTGACTCCTGAGCTCCCAGTAATGCCATGTTATATGGGGCAGGGAGGGAAGGATGGCTCCAGGAATGTGGTGACATACATGCTTACTTAAAAAATTCTTTTTCTTCTAAACGTATATGATATAATCTTTGAGGATGCTAAATAATACTGGAAATATTTTAATGACATAAGGAAAGAGTCACATTTTTAAAGTGAAAAAAGGCAGTATATATAAAGTTTTAGAAACTATAAATTATCAAAAATACCCCACTGTCAATTCCTATTTATTTATTTTGCAGCACCAGGGACTGAACTCAGAACCTTGTGCTTGCCAGGCAAGTGCTTATGCCACTGAGCTGTCCCTTGGCCCCAGTTCCCTTTCAGTATATGTGCTACCAAAGGGAGCCCAGAGTTACTCAGTTGCCCTTTAAGTGCATCCAAATAGCAATGTGTTCAAGTAGGGGGATGAAGGGTGACTTTAGTTCCTTCATTTTGGTTTTCTGCACTTTTCAAAAAATATAGAGATAATGTTAAAACATGTATATTATATATGGTAGAGACATTGCTCATTTTGTGGTTCTGGAGATTGAACCTAGAACTTTTGGACAGAGCTGTATCCCAAGGCCTTTTTAACATTTTTGCTTTGTTTTGTCTTGTCTTGTTTTAATTTTCAGACAGGGTCTTCCTGAATCACCAGGTTGCCCAGATGGGACTCAAATTTGCAACCCTCCTCTGGGGTTGTGGGCTTGCACCACCACCCCCATCAGGAAACAGTATTTTAAATAATACATAGAATATATTTTTTCTAAGAATCTGGGTAATATCATAAAATCAGAAAGAAAAGAAAACAGTTTCCTATGATACAACTGCCTAGAAACAACCTCTTGGCATTTCCTTTTTTTTTTTTTTTTTTTTTTTTTCCTTCTACTTATTTTCTATGAAGGCTTGTATGAATAAGCAAAATTGGTAGAGCTAAGCTTCCTAGTCCTGTACGGCCTTCTGTGAAACAGTTTTGCTTTTTCTTTCTTTTTTTTTTTAACTTTACTTGAAGCCTAATTTGTCACTTTTAATGGTCCCCAAGTTTTCTGATGGCATAAAGATAAGCACAGACCTTCACAAACAGGAATTCAGTAAGGCAGGTCCTGTCGCAGCCTCTTGGGTTAATGATCTCTGGCCACCACAAGATGGCAGCAACAGCAGGAGGAAGACTCTCAAACCAAATTACTGCCTACCAGGCACAACCAAAGAAAGTTAAGCTCTTCTGTAGCATTAGAACAAGGCAAACATTAGTATAAACTGGAACAGGACAGAGACTTGGACAAGGTAGAAACTGGTAAGCAAAGAAGGACATTTCGAACTCTAGGCTCATGGCAACTTTTCTGTAAAAGAGCCCCATGATAAGTGTTTCAGGTTATGGGGGCACACAACATCTGTGGGTGTCATTCAGCGCCGTCTTGATCATAGTCATAAAGGGTCTGTAAGCAAATGCATGTAGCTGTGCTCCTTAAAACTTCATTTATGGACAGAAATTTGAATTTCATATAACATTTACAGTGTCAGGAAGCATTATTATCCCCCCCCACCACCACCATTTAAAAGCCATTGGCAACTCACGTATACAAGCTGACAGTAGGCCAGATGTAGTCCACTGGCCGATCACTCGTCCCTTCTCTAGGGCACCGGCCAAGGCACACAGAAACAAGCTCTGGCCTTGGACTTGACTAAATAAAGTAGATTGAGGCACGGATGTAACGCAGTGATTAGGAGTGCATGCCGGGATGCTCAGGAGGGAAGACAGAGAGCCGAAGTGGCTGTGACTTAGCGAGGCACCAGCACCTGGACCAGTTTGGACCATCGATAGGAGACTTAGGTGAACATAGGCGGTCATCGATTAAATGAGCCTGAGATCAAGGTTAAATGGACCAAGGGCCTCTGTGTGTGTGTGTGTGTGTGTGTGTGTGTGTGTGTGTGTGATTTCATTCTAGCCTATACCAGTGCCTTGTAAGGGCACTATGTACAGGGGAACGAAACAGACCTGTGGAGTGCAGTTATGAATAGAGTGAAACAAATGGAGAGGAAAGGTGTTCTTGCCCTTGAAAGTTGGCAAAGATAAAAGAATAAAGATTCCTTAAAAAAGATAACAAGTAGTCTTCAGTTTTTAGGATTAAACTGTGAGATTTCTTTTATCCAGTTACTATATAACAATGAATTTGCAAAAATTATATTTTAGATTAGAATCTTCATCAAATAGCTACCTTATCCTAAGTACCGATTAAAAATTATGCAGTCAGGCATGCTGACTAACACATAGTTTTTAAAATATAACGTGGTTCATGAAAATCATTTTTAACACTTGATATTTGGATTTTTGCTATTCTGGTTATTTTATTATTGGTAATACTAATGGAAACAATCTATTCTTTCCAGATCTTTCCTTGACTAATTCTCCAACAACAATTCCAGCAAATGGCTTTATTAAATATGGTGAAAGCAGCTATTCACTCATGAAACATAAGTTATCATGGTATGAAGCAGAGAAATATTGCAAGGAATACACTTCCCTTATTGCTAGCATTCTGGATCCCTATACTAATGCATTTTTATGGTTAAAAATGCAGTCATTTAATGTACCTGTGTGGATCGGCCTGAACAGTAACTTGGTAAGATGATGGGAACAGCTTGCTGTGCATGTCGTGGTGGAATACGATTCTCCCGCTCATTCTGCTGAACAGTTATGTGAAAGAAACCGCTGAGCAATGTGAATGCTACCAACATGAAGAACACCCAGTCTTTTTCAAGGGTCCATTGGCTTCAGGGGTCTAGGAAGCTAGTGATATATGTCATAAACCAACCTAGGAGTTGAATGGCTGCTCTTTGAACATTGAAATTATATTCTGAGCCTAACTGCAACACTGATTTGCTTTTTTTTTGTTTTTTTCCCAATGTCATGATCACAACTAGGGCAAGGGAATCAAGAAAGGAGATTGGAGGCATAGGTACTGGGTGATGAGGAGACTTTTACTTTTGTGACAGACTTTTCTAGATGGATACAGGTCCTGAAGTTGTGGAACTTCCATCCATATGTGAGAGATACCTTATTGCCCTTCATTCCCTATATTCCATGACAGAGAAAGGAAGGTTGGTTGAGCGTGCTGTGAAGGGAGGGAGGAGGCCCGGAACTGCCTGGTGATAGAGTTGGCAAATGATTCCTAAAACCAACCTTTTATGATCTCTCTTAAAACCATTTATCCTTCCTTGGTGTTTTTATCTAGCTAATGAACTAGCAAGCTTACAAGCTACAGAAATAGAGATTTCAGTAGGCAACCCAGAGACAATACCAGAAGTTTTAAAGAAAGGTGGATACAGAGTTTTACTGAGAAAAGGGACCAATGGGCTGATGAGAGGACATGTGACAGGGCTTCCCTGAGAAAGTCAGCCTTTTCAGATGTAGCGTCAACTGCATGGTGCAGCAGAAGGAAAAAATACTGAGAGAGAAAAGCACTGGAAAGGGCCGAAGTTGGTAACTAGATTGCTGTCAGATTCTCTAGAGCCCCGAATGCCCTGCTGCAGATAGGGACTTACATGTTATACAACTAGTGTTTCCTACGTATGAAAGTGAATATTTAAAAGTAAGTAGTTCTATAATGACTTCTGTGGTATAAGCATAAGGAAGACCTTTTATTTATTCTGTTGACTGTTTTTGATAATTGATTTGTTTGATTATCCATTTTCTTATGCATGTGTTCACATTTCTCCTATATTATTTAAGATAGGCTTTTGCTTCTTGTCAAAAAGATTAAATAGTTTTCCATAATACCATATGGATGACTACAACAGTACTATTATTTTTCTGTAGTCTGCATTTCACAATTATGCAGGGATTATTTCATTAAACATGGGAGAACACAAAAAGAATTTTAACTTAAGCTAAGCACGCCCTTTTAATTTTAGTCATTGGCTATTTGGTTATTGTCATTTAAAATTTTTTTTAAAAATTTTTTTGTGGAACTGGGGATTGAACTCTGGCCCTTGTGCTTGCCAGGCAAACACTTATTCTACTTAGCTATCTCCCTGGCCCTTGGTTATTGTCTTGGTAAATTAAATAATACAGTTAAAAAGTAGAAAATATTTGAATTTTTTAAAATTTAGTTATGTCTGGTTAATGCTATATGTACCTGTTCTTAAGCATAATCTGTAAAAATATATTTTAGATTGTTAGAATACTATTATTGATAAATATTAGTGCTATCAACTACTTTGTATGTGATCATAAATTTGACTTAATAGAAATTAAATAAGCAAATAGAATGAAACAACCTTTTAAAAAAAGCACATCGTGCTTTATATAATTGAGAGAATGTATAACTAGGACTCAAGAGGCTGGGCTCTTGTGTTATCTGTCCAGATAAACCATCTTACTTGAGTCATCTGCCACTGGCGCCATTTCTCTTGTAGAGCAATGAGAACACCGATCTTTCTCGCAGGGGTCCACAAGTCAGTGAAAATTACTCAGTGCTTATTATAACTTAAGTAATACAAATATTTTATTTGCTATGAAATCGAACTTTTCCTTGGCCCTGAAAAACTTGAAAACAAAGAATTTCATGGGTGAGAGACAGGTTTTCTTAGTCTTTTATTTATTTATTTTTTTCAGAATTGCTCCCAAGGATATATTAGTAGGGATCTCGAAGAAATAACCATTTTTAAGAAGGGGTGACTTTTTTCCTCTAAGTTTGAGTTGGTACAAGTGATTTAATGTTCTTTTTAGTCACAGATGTTTAAGACTCAGTATGAAAGCTGCAGTCCTAAAATGTACCCTCGGTTCTTAGCGTGGTTCTCCTGGTGCTCTCTAAACTCGCAGAAGCCCTCTGCTCATAGTCCCTTTTATTCTTGCAGACCAACAGTGACTACATTTGGGTCGATAAGTGGAGGATGAGGTACAATAACTGGGCAGCGAACGAGCCCAAGCTGAAGTCCGCATGTGTTTATATGGACGTCAACGGCTTCTGGAAGACGTCACATTGCAATGAAAGCTTTTATTTTCTCTGCAAGAGATCAGATGGTAATTGGATACACGAAAACAGTTGATGGATTTGAAATTTTCTGAATAAGTTACTGCATATCACTGTCAATATTATGAAATAGTGATGGATCTTAGATGACTATTCTTTTGACTGACTTGGAGATATAGATAGATAGATAGATAGATAGATAGGTACATAGATAGATTTATAGATAGATAGATAGATAGATACATAGATAGATAGATAGATACATAGATAGATACATAGATAGATACATAGATAGATTTATAGATAGATAGAAAGATGGATAGATAGATAGACAGACAGATGTCAAAATAATGGAAATAGTAACTTTTCTTTATTTCTGGAATTTGTTTTCTCTTTATAAATTTGTGCATGTTGGTAATGAGGTTGTCTTCTGAATCTATAACACATTACTCAATAAATTCTGTTCCTTTTCAATAGAAACAGCACATTTGTATTCATGGAATTGTGTCAGTATGCATGTAATTCTGTGAAACTAACAGATATTATGGACATAGTCCAAAAATCCTAGTTATAATATTTAGTTATGTCATAGGCACCATAATTAGCTATGAAGAAGTTTTAGGGCTTGGGGTCTCAGAAAGGAAAATAGTAGTTTGAAAGGAAACTCCTTTATAAATTATTTTGGGGTAACTTCTAAAAACTATTAACATCCTTCTAGGTATTAGTAGATGTACAGCTTTACATTCTGACTGTGATTGCTATCTCATTGTGTAGACTAATGAGATATACTTAAAATGGTAAAGTAAATAAAATCCCCATAATAAAAAATAGTACATTCATATGCGAAACATTGGAGGGTTTTGAAAAACAATGCTAGTTGATGTAATGTGAAAATACTATTCTATATCACATTGACACTTCCAATTCTTCTTCATTTCAAATATCTCTTTTTCACAGAGATCCCTGCCACGGAACCACCACAGCTGCCAGGCAGGTGCCCAGAGTCAGAGCCCACTGTGTGGATCCCGTTCCACGGTCACTGCTACTACATTGAATCTTCCTTCACCAGGAACTGGGGCCAGGCGTCTCTGGAATGTCTTCGGATGAGTATGTGCCACATTTCCTGAAAGAAAATCCTACAGTGATTTATTCCAGAGTCCCACGATGCTAATAACTATATGTGTAAAATACAAGGAATGTAAAATACTTGTTTATTTTTAATGATTTATTTTTGGTAATAGGATGGTCTCTAACTTTGCAACCTGCATTCACATAAGAAACAATCATATGCTGAATAAATCTTTCTTTCTACACCAAATGCTAACCTGTTAACGATTCTCATCTGCAGTTATCTCAAATATTATACTTTCTTCTTATAACTTTTACAAGCACTCAAGCACCATTTTATTTTGCCAGTAATTAAAATATATTTGCATCTAATTTTTGTGAAAAAAAGCAAAACTCAAATATACATGACATACACGAATTATTTCCCATCTGAAATAACCAATTTCAATTAAAGGTAATATTTTAGGAAGAATTCTACAGCCACTTAGTTAAATATTTTACTGATTTTTTTTTTTTTTTTTTTTGTGGAACCGGGGATTGAACTCAGGCCCTTGCGCTTGCCAGGCAAGTGCTTATTTCACTGAGCCATCTCCCCGGCCCTACTGAATTATTTTAAGTAGATTTTATACTCCTAATTCAGAATTCTTCATCCAGTAGTGGAGTTCAAGGGTTATATTCTCATTTCCTTTAGGTTCATTCAGAATTCAACCTTAATTTTTTTTATTTTAAAGAGAATAAAAAATATTAGATAAAACATTAGAAATGACACAGAATTTCTAAAAACAAAATGATAGGAATTCAGCAATGGTTGTTGTATTGCACATTGTTGTCTTCAAAGTAGCTGCTCAGATTACCAGATATAAGCATGCAAAAGTGGTCAAAATAAATATTTTAAGCTTTAACTTCTCACTTTAGAAACCAACAGAAATTAGTAGTGCAATTATGTATAATATATATCTATCTATATATAGATAGATATATATATGTAAAGTATAATCTTTTCCCTTCTTTATCTTTCCCTCATCCCCATTGTTCTTTCCTTTTGAGCAGTCACTTTGTCTTTCATTGCATCTTTCAGATTTCATTTACTCTTTCAGCTTCTTACACTAGCGAGACATTATGATGTTTATACATGTGTGCCTGATGTATTTTGCTTATGAGCATGGCCCTTAGTTGCATCCATTTACCTATAAAAGCTTTGAATTTATCTTTCTTTATAGCTGAATAGTAGTCCATTGTATAAAACTACTTCATCTTTTTTATCCATCCATCATTGGATAAAAATGATGGTCATTTGGGTTGTTTCCAAGATTTAGCTAGAGAGAAAAACTGTGCAGCTATAAATATGGATGCACATATATATCATAGCTGGGACGAATGGGACTCCTAGTCTTAGGTTTTTGAGGAATCTCTACACTAATTTTCACAGTGGTTGTACCAGTGTACATTCTCTGCATCAAATGAAGCCTGCTTTATTAATTTTTGGCCTGTGTATTTTGAAGTTCTGTTGTCAGGTACATATATGACTATGCCTATGTAATTTTCTTAATTGAAACTTTATCATTGTAATAAGTCTTCATTATCACTAGAAATAATGTTTGTTTGATATTAGCATAGCTGCTCCAGCTTTGTCCAGGCTATTACTTTCACTTATTATAGTTTCTTTAGATATGAAGTATGTTTTTACTTTTTAATGAAAATATACTTACAGATGACATATAATTAAATATTTTTATTAATTAATTTGGACATTCTATGGATCTTCATTATTTAGTGTTTAATCTATTTAAATTTAGTGTAACTACTGAAAAAGTCAATATATCTGTGTATTTTATTTTGCCATTTTTCCTCTACATGTCTTATGTATTTTGGTTTCCTTATTCCTCCATAACTGCTTTCTTTTACATTTAGTAGGTGATTTTTTTAGTGCACTATTTTAATTATCTTCTTTCTTTTACTATATAGATATTGCCCAACTTATGATCCTTCATCTTGAGATTTTTTTATTTTAGGATCCTTTATGGGGATCATAAGTACATTATTAGATAAAGGAGCATCTACGTGTAGTCTAGTCAGTCTCTTAGTGAGGAATACAATTAGCATCTGAATTTGCAACAATTTAGTTTAGATTTATATAAATTTACTTGTAATTGTGAACAAAAGCTTTGCTTTTATATAGCTCTGTTTTCTCTGCCCCCTACTCTTATTGTCATACCAAAATCTTCACATGTTATATACCTGTTGAAACAGATGGACAATTATTGATTTATGCAGTTGTTTTAAGTCAGCTAGGATGCAAAATTACAAAGAAAAAACACACTCATATTGTTCTCTACATTTATGTTACTTTTTCTGGTATTTCTCTACATTTATGTTACTTTTTCTATTTATTTACACTATGTATGTATGTATGTATGTATGTATGTATGTATTTGCAGTAACAAATTCACTTCTTTTGTTTACTTAGGAATATTTTGTTTTCCTTTATTTAATTTTTTATTTTATTTATTTATTTATTTTTGGTATTGGGGATTGAACTCAGGACCTTGAACTTGCCAGGCAGGCACTTATGCCACTGCTCTATTTCTCCAGCCCCTGACAGGTTCTAGGATATTTTTTTGTTTCTTTGTTTATGTGCTTGTTTATTTACTCACTGGTACTAGGATTGAACTCAAGACCTTGCATTTGCTGGGTAGGTGTTTATGCTAGTGCACTATCTGCCTAGCACTTTCCTTTATCTTTGGAGGTTAGCTTTTCTAGGTAGAAAATCGCTGGTCAACAGTTGTTTTTTTGCAGCTTTTAAAATATTTCCCCTCATTTCTTCCTATATTCTGTGGTTTCTAATTAGAAATTAGTGTTAAGTCTCTGTATATCACCAATCATTTTATTGTTGTTGGTTTTATGGGGCTTTATCTTTAAAAACTTTGTTGATAATGTGTTTAGATATAGTTTTCCTAGATGTGATAGACACACATGTCTTTATGTGTCTAGGGCTGCTAAGTCTTCCAGATTTTGCTAAGGGACTTTGTCAAGGTTGAGCTCTTTTTCTTTTCTTTTTTCCTTTTCTAAAGAGAATAAAAAATAGTAATAAAGAAAAAAAAACATTAGAAATGATACAAAATTTCACTAAACAAAGGAATAGGAATTCAACAATGGTTGCTATATTGCATAATATTGTCTTCAAATTAGTTGTGTAGAGTATCAGATTAAGCATGCAAAATTGGTTAACAAAACAAGAAATTAAAAAGGAGAAGATGAGGCTGGGGAGATAGCTCAGTAAAATAAGCACCTGCCTGGCAAGCACAGGGTCCTGAGTTCAATCCTTGGTACTGAAAAAAAAACAAAACAAAACCTTAGATGTTTGGGCTGGGGAGATGGCTCACTGGAATAAGTGCTTCCCTGGCAAATGCAAGGGCCTGAGTTCAATCCCCGGTTCCGCCAAAAATAAATAAATAAATAAATGAA